TGATCAGTATGTATAGAGGAAAATAATAGGCGGATAAAGCGAAGGGTGATTAGCGTAATCGGTATAGTGTCCGTTCACCAAACTAATTCTTGAGCAAACAAACAAGAACATGTTTTACAGCTCTAAACAAAAATAATCTTCCAGCTTTGCTTCGAGATTATCAATTAATTGTTTCAAATCTAAGCTTTGAATGAACATATTTTGATCTATTTTTTATTAAAATTCATATGGTTTGAATATGCCATGAACAGATCATGAACACATTAAATCAATCAAATATAAAGTATTTAGAGAGCAGAAGCAGGTAATTCTAATCAGTTTGTTGAATGTATCTGCATCATGAGGGTAGACATCGTATCGCATAATCCTGAATAAATATATAGATCGCGTCATCATGGCCATTGCTCTTTCGAATATAATTAGTTGTCCTCTATTTGTAACTTTACGATTGAGTTGACTAATTAAACCATCGAATCTGTCAGTCAATTGATCGCACAGAACGTGTGTGCTTCCAAATTTTTGCTGAAAACCCAAAATTTTATGTATCATCGGGAATTTGTATGGCTTGAGTGGCTTGAATGACTGACGAAATCAATAAATTTTATCCGCTAATTTCGGCCACGAAATCGATTAAATCTAACTGCCGATTTTGACGTCCTTAATCATGATCCTTATTAACCTATCCAACAACCTCATCAACTTCTTCATCTTTAACAACCACCTTCTCATCTCACTTCGATTGTGATCAAATGGTGATCAAACCTTTATCAACTCTTTCAACCACCGGTAACATTGTCTTATACTCCAAAACAACCCAAACACGCCGACCAACACTTTAAATTAAATTGCTCATCTTCACACATTTAACCAAGATTCTCGATTAATCTGAGGTTAAAGTCAAGTGAAAAAATGAATTGAATTTTAACTCAAATTAACCATAATTGGTGTCAACGCCATCTCTTATCTGTAAAGCTGTAAAAGCTGGTTTTTGTTATATTTTTACTCTCTGACCCCAACTCATTCTCGGTGAAATCGTTTTTCACGTTTTTTTTGATGTAATCTACAACTAGTATTTCATCATTCAAATTATTAACTCTGATTATGAATCATTTAACTTTTCATTGCTCTGTGTAAGTTGGCGGTAAAAATATGTTAAGCTTTACATTAACCTACAATATGTAAACATCTACAGGGCATTTCAGCTAATTTTCATATTTCAAGGTCAAGCAAAATGCATTTATCTTTTGACCAGAATAAGTTATGAACATGTCACTAGCCTCAACTAATCTGTTAATTTTTGCACTCTTAGAAATTGACCTTAAAATATCAGTTGGAAGTCAAATAACGCAATGACCTTGAATGACCTTGACCTTGAAATATGACAATTAAGTATCGCTCAAATTTCCATAGACAAAGTATCTAACTTCAAGGTCACTCAGGGGCAAAGATATAGCCTATTTACAACGGGAAAATTAGCTGAAATGCCCTGTATATTCCTCTGGTTAGTTTTCTGTTTAATTAGATAATTTTTGGTACATATTGCAATTGTCTTATTTGTTTTTTTTCGATTTTTGTTAATTACTGTAGTTGGGCAGTAAATTTTGGTAAGTAAATATCTCAATTGTAATATTATTTTATTTTCCCCATTATTATTTTATTATGCAGTTTTTTTAACCTGTTTTTCCTGTTATTTCAAGTTTAAGTCTGTCTTGGCAGCTTCAATTCAAGTTTTATTGTTCTTTTGGCTAATTTGCTCTTTTTTCATCTCTTCATATTAATTTTTTTCGTTTAGTGAGATGGACACAGTCAAGATGATCCTACATGTGACTGTGACTGTGAGGTAAACTTATGTGAGGGATTATGTCATCATGTCAACTTCATCATGGTTATTATTCACTAGTTTAATGTAACCTGGATGTTGCATTTTTGATGTTCAACCAGAATCATATCTAGCAAATTTTCAGAAAAATACTTTTCGTTCTCCGCTTTTTGCTACTTTATGCAAAAACCTGATGATGCTTGATTTGAATGTGACCAGTTAACCGCTAAAAATGACAATTAATCAATTTCCAAGACATGTTCAATTCGCCATGAATCTAATGCCATAATTATATTGATTCAATTCTAGTCTATTGTTGCTCATCTTCATCTTGGCCAACTTCACCCCCAACAACCGCCTTCTCATTTCACTTTCACCGACTTTGATAAAATGGAACCACCTTTCAAACAATGGAACCATTGTCAATACTCTAGACAACCCAAATAACGTGTAACGAATGTTAGTAATGTTAGTTAATACTCGATGATTGAACTCAAGACAATACTTTACTTATCGTATTATATTTTAGTTTTTCATCTTTACTTGTATTTTCAGATTAATCTAGCAATTTCAGAAAATCACCTTTCAATGTCAATTAGAGGTCAAATAAAGAATAGCCTTTGAATAACCTTGAGCACTTGAATTTATCAATCTGCAATCTGGATTAGATTATGGTTCAAGTCTGAAGTCTGTAGCACTAACCGTTCGTGAGTTATGCCTGCATGAAGGCGTAAAATGAAAAAAAAACGCCCGGTATTATGTTAAAACATTGAGCTTTGTTGCTAAAAAGACACAAATAGCAACAATTGATGCTTTTATGCACAAATTGACACAAACTGACAAAACTCTGAAACAAAAAGAGCGAAAATGTGTAAAAATTGCGTTTCTGAAAATTTAAACTCTGTTGGTTTGTAGGAAATTAAAAACTTTTTATGGTCAATAGTTATTGAGAAATTTGAGTTCGAAGTTGAAACTTCAGTCGCCTTCTATACGGTTTTGGGAACAAATTTTTTCATGAAACTTCATAAAGCAGATGTAATTTTTGATGGTAAATCAGAAAATCTAACTATTTTGAGAAATAAAAATTCAGAAGATCTATTGATAAATACAAAAAAGTTTTCAATTTATGAAAAGCAAAAACAATTTCTATCGACTGATACTAAGTTTCAGACCTCTAAATCTTAAGGACACAGAAAAAGGCTGGTATAATTCAAAATCGAAGAATTGAAGTTATACGGAAACAGGCAATGCAATTTATCAAAATAAGTTCATTTTCTGGTTGATAATCAGAAACATCATCTGTGAAATAAGTTACATGAAAAAGTCTGCCTCCGTTTTTAATCAATAAGCGATTGAAGTTTCAAATGCGCATCCAATTCCAACACACGTCATTAGAAAGACGGAATGAATTTTTTCTGATTAACTGAATGTAAAGTAATCACTCATATCCATTAGCCAGTATGAGTTACGAACATTTGACTAACACTATTCGGTCAGAAAAATTTAGCAATTTCAGAAAATGACCTTTCAAGGTCAATTAGAGGTCAAATAAAGAATTGAACTTGAATAACCTTGAGCATTAGAACTTATGGTTGTTCAATTTGAATAAACTCATGGTTCAAGTCTGAAGTCTGTAGCGCTGATCGTTCGTGAGTTATGCCTGCATGAAGGCGTAAAATGAAAAAAACGCACGGTAGTACAAAATTGGAGTCCCAACTTTAGCCTCGATTAGCACAAATAGATTCAGTCTCTACAAACCAATAGGGTCTCAATTTGAAAGAAGTTAATATTGAAATGGACGAACCCATTTGTTTTGCTAAATCTTGCGCACAAATAAGTCTATTTACAGAAACACCTTGCCTCAAATACATAATCAATATGGATTGGTACAAAACAATCAAATAACTTAAATCATTTGTTCATAACAATTTTCATTGACCAAAACATTTTTAGAGTCAAAGAATATTTAAAAAAGATGGATGCTTTTCGAAAAGCGCAAAAAATCTCGAGAAGCATCTTTTGGATTCCATGTTTGTTCAATTTTATTGCGAAAACAATAAACAATGGTAATTCAACTTGTAACCATCGCTTGAACATGAGATCCAAAAGCGTTGATCTGCTGCTTGGTTATCGAGAATCGTTATTTAATTGAATACATTATAGCTTTTTTGTTGGATTTTTGGCTGCTTAGCTTGCAACAGAACTATCCTGTAGGACATTTCTCTCAATGAATCGATAGAAGCACGATAATGTCTCTTTTCGAATCAATACAAAAAGCTACCAAAATGATATTAAATTGAATCAATTTAGCTTGAGCTTGATCTTTGTACACGAATTTCTTAATCAAAATTGATAATTCTTAATGGCACAATTTAATCGTTACACTTCTTCGCTTGTGAATAAAAAATATGAAATTGGTAAGCTACCAATTTTGATAACAAGTGGTTTATTTACAAACAATACAACAAATTAATTATTAGGTTGGCCGGATAGAAAAGTGAAGCGAATTTTATTTTGTTGAATTTCGTGTGGTTATCGCACAGAGCTGAATATTGATGGTTAGGACCTTACAACATTCATTCATTTTTTGCAATTAACAAAAATTGATTATCGCAATTAATTTCCGAGATATTAAAATTTAATTGGAAAATGGGAAAATTTTTTAGCTCCCATAGAATAACATTGATTTTGATCAAAAATACAGTCTATGCATAGGGTACCCCCTTTAACCATTTAAAAAAATACAGCTCGTTTTTGCGTTTTCCCATTTTCCAATTAAATTTTAATATCTCGGCATATCTCTCTATAATCCATTTTTGTTAATTGCAAAAAATGAATGAATGTTGTAAGGTCCTAACTACCAATATTCAGCTCTGTGCGATAACCACACGAAATTCAATAAAATAAAACTCGCTTCACTTTTCTATCCGGCCAGCCTAATATATGATCTCAAAAAAGATATATTAAAGAAAAAAATTCAACACGATAAAGCTAGTTGTGTAATAAGGTATGACCGGTAAAGTTTGAGAATAATTTTTCAAAATTGAATTGCGTCAGTTAGACTAGACTTACAGGCACCATTTAAACGTTAAAATAAAGGTACACTTCTCAAGCACATTTATTGCAAAAATAAATTAATTTTGATCAAAAAGTGTCAAGTTATGACCTTAAATGGACAAACGCGTCAAAATCTGATTTTGCCTTAAGTCAAAAACCATATATTTTTCAAATTCATACTAGGGTTTCGGAGAATCGAAAAATGTGGCCTCAAAGTTATTGAGAATTAGTCATTATTCACAATGAGAAGCGCGCTATTTTAATTAATAATAATTTGATTTGAGAGAAAGGACTTTGTAGACTCGTTAGAGATCGAAACTGAGTCCATTTGAGAAATGCAATTTTTTTGCAAAATGATAATGTAACTTAAATGATTATTGAAAGAAGGATATTCTTTCAAATGAACAATGTTCGTCTCAGCTTGCATGTTATAAGAAGAGAAGATTTCAGAAAAAGTTGAGACTAACGTATTAAAAGCACACCTAAATTGTTTGCTTTAATTTTTTTATTTAAATTCAGATGAAAAAACAATTCAATTATGAGGTAGATTGACCAGGACTAGAGAATATAATTGCATGTTAAAATAATTTGATCAAGAAATTTCAACAGGTCCATAATTAATAATCGTGAATTCATATTCTTCAATAATTTCTCGAAGTATCTCAATATTATCTTCATCAGTCATTCCAAGTTCTGCGATTGGGATTAATTTGCTTCTATTTAAAATAGATTGCAAATATTTCAATTGAGTTTTTTCATGTTTCACAGATTCCAGATCAGCTTCTTTGTCTCTAATTTGAATTTTAAGTGCTTTCATTTGTGAATTGACTGTTTCCATGAATTCATCTTTCACCTTCAATCCAATGGAATCTATTTTTTTAGTGAAAGGTCCATTTGCCGAGAAACTAATTGTAACTCGACGATTTGGTCTTAATAAGTCAAGTAATTTAACCGCAATCTCAGCAGCGTACATGTATTCATTAACGGCTTGTTCTATGAGTCTGTCGAATATATTTTCGGATTGATCTTTTTGGTCAACCTCTCGAATAATCTTGAATAAATATATAGATCGTTTCATCATGGCCATTGCTCGTTCAAATATAATTAGTTGACCTCTATTTGTAACTTTACGATTGAGTTGACTGATTAAACCATCGAATTTATTAACTAGAACTTTCTCGAAATCCCATCTTTTGTATCTGCGCTGTGACTTGAATACTCTGATTATTTCCGTGAATTTATATGGCTTGAGTGGCTTGAAACGATCAAATCTGTACTCTAAAGTTTCTCTATCATAATGTATCTTTTGTTTTGTCATTAGGTAATGATCAGCGTAGTCTAAAGATATTTGATAAGATTCATCTTGGTTTAGATTCAAATCAAATATAACTTCAATATCCCATTGCATGTCACACAAATAATCAATAAGTTTCCATGGTTTGCGATACTGAAATGGATTCCAATCTAATGATTCCAAGAACTGATAATACTTAAGTATATGAAAATAAACAATAAAAAATGCATTAAGAGGTTGTTCATAGATTTCCTCATAGACTGGATCCACTCGGAAAAAATTTGAAGGCACATCAATTCTTGGCTTAGTACCAGGTGAGCGACTGAATGTTAAGAAGTACGCTCCATTGTAGATGTCTCCGAATGAAACGTCGATATGTAAAATATCAGTTGTTATGTTTTTAAGTCCAAGGATCATATTTGATGATCCCAAGTCATCTTTACATAAACCAAACTTTTTTGTTAGTTTTAAGTTTACATTCAATCTTCTTAATACAATACTTCGAATCGTTGCTCGAGTCATGTTTTCACTGTCCCTTTCAATCCAATCAGCTTTTATCTTTTCTATGAATTCACAAACATCAGAAATAGCATCACAGCCTTTTTCATTTATCACATTGAAAATTTCATCACTTTCATTTAAATAATCTTTGAAGTTTGAAAACTGCATCAACCCATAAACGTCTTTGATTAGTCGTTGACATTTTCTCATAATTTCACAAATCTTGTCGATCTCATTGGATTTAGATGACTTTGACTTTTTCTTGGATGAAGATGTTGTAGTCACCAATGATGTTGAGGTTATTGGATCATTTAATGTTTTCAACTTATCCAGATAAGATGTCAAAATAACTTTTTGCATTTCATTTGTTTCAGAAGATTCTTTGATAATTTCTAATTCACTTTGAGCAAGTTTGATAAATAAGATAGCTCTACCATGAAGATCGTTAGTTGGATGGGTTTTTAATGATTGTTTAAAATAATCAGGATCCAGAATGGCTTCCAAGTCATACGGAGATTTAGCACCGTTATTTAGTGATGCAAAAGTGTCATAACAATTTTTTATAAGTTGTTTCAACCGCTTTCTTAGGTTGCTATCTATTTCTCGTTTTGTAAGTTCAAATGATTTGATATGTATACCATTGCGCCTTTCAAGATTATTGTACAATAATTTCAATGAATCCAGCGTTTCACTAATAACTGATAATTTAGTTTTTTCAATAACAGCATCTCTATCACTAGAAAATGGATAATCCTCTTTGACATCAATTGACAGCTCTTTTAAATTGGATGACAGGAGCAATTGCTCAAGTGAAATGATTGTTTCATTGAGTAAAACGGATAAATCAGACCATTTTTCTGGTAATACTCCGTAGTTTAATAAATTAGTAATAATCGTTGGGCACTCCATCTTAATGGCACATTCACAATTTAATCGTTACACTGGTTCGTCTGTGAAAAATGAAATTGGTAAACTACCAATTATGATAACAAGTGATGTATTTACAAACAATACAACAATACAATTACAACAAATTAATTGATCTCAAAATAAAAATATATTAAAGAAAAAAATGAAACTCAATAAAGTTAGGTGTATAATAGTTATTGTGTTTCAAAACTCATTGAAATTACATGATTGAATTGCAATGATAAATCAGCTCGTATCACAGCAAAATTCCTGGTAAATTCACAGTTGATTATTAGGTTCAATCTATGACTCAAAAATTAGAAGCGCGCTATTTGAATTACTAATAATTTGGGTTGAGAGAAGGGACTTTGTAGACTCGTTAAGAGATTGAAACTGAAGCTCATTTGAGAAATAATTTTTTTTTTGCATTTCCTTATTTGTCAAAATGGTAATTATTGTACTTAAATGGTTATTGAAAGAATGATATTCGTTCAAATGAACAATGTTGGCCTCAGCTTGCATGTTATAAGAAGAGTAGATTTCGGAAAAAGTTGAGACTAACGCACATGTATCAAAAGCATACCATGATTTTTTGCCTTAATTTTTTTTTATTAAAATTCATGTAAAAATATAACGATCCAATTATAAGTCAAATTTAACAAGACATAAAAAATTAAGAACATTAAAATTTATAATTGCATTGTATTATTGCATGTTAAAATAATTTGATCAAGAAATTTAAACAGGTCCATAATTAATAATCTTAAATTCATATTCTTCAATAATTTCTCGAAGTATCTTAATATTATCTTCATCTGTCATTTCAAGGTCTTCGATTGGGATTAATTTGATTCTATTTAAAATAGATTGCAAATATTTAAGCTGAGTTTTTTCATGTTTCACCGATTCAAGATCAGCTTCTTTGTCTCTAATTTGAATTCTAAGTGTTTTCATTTGTGAATTGACTGTTTCCATGAATTCATTCTTCACCTTCAATCCAATGGAATCTATTTTCTTAGTGAAAGGTCCATTTGCTGAGAAACTAAATGTGATCCGACGATTTGGTCTCAATAAGTCAAGTAATTTAACCACAATCTCAGAAGCATAAAAGTATTCATTAACAGCTTGTTCTATGAGTTTGTTGAATTTATCTTCATGACAAGGATGACCAGCGTATCGAATAATCCTGAATAAATAAATAGATCGCTTCATCATGGACATTGCTCTTTCAAATACAATTAGTTGACCTCTATTTGTGACTTTACGATTGAGTTCACTGATTAAACTGTCAAATCTGACCGTCAATTGATCTCTCAAGGCCCATCTTCTTTTATAATCTGGTCGCTGTGAATGCAAGATCTTATAAATTTCCTGGAATTTGTATGGCTTTTCTGGCTTGAAACGATCAAATCTATACTCTAAAGTTTCTCTATCATAATGTATCTTTTGTTTTGTCATCAGGTAACGATCAGCCAAGTCTAATGATATTTTGTACGATTCGTTTTGTTTGAAACTAGCATCTAGTGCAGCTTCAATAAGCCATCGCAATTCACCCAAATAGTAATGCAGATTCCATGGTTTGCGATACTGAAAAGGATTCCAATCTAATGATTCCATGTACTGATAATATTCAAGTATATGAAAATAAACAATAAAAAGGGCATTATAAGGTTTTTCATAGATTTCTTCATAGACTGGATCATCTCGGACAAAATTTGGAGGAACATCAACTCTTGGCTTAGGTAACCCTTTGAATGTTAAGTAGTAGGCTTGATTGAACACTTTTCTGAATGCAGCATCTAAATGTATAGTGTCAGTTGCGACGTTTTTTAGGCCCAATATTACGAATGAACATTCCAAATCGTCTTCAAATGAGTTGAACTTTTTCAATGATTTTAAAATTGTATTCAATCTTCGCAAAGCGCTACTTCGACACATCGCATCTGTTATATTAACACAATCCCTTTTAATCCAATAAGTTTTCACAGTTTCTAAGAATTCACAAACATCGGGAGAAGCATCACAGCCTTTCTCATTTATCACATTGAAAATTTCATCACTTTCATTTAAAGAATCTTTGAAAGTTGATATTTGAATCAATCCATAAACGTCTTTGATTAATCGTTGACATTTTCTCAAAATTTCACAAATCTTGTCGATCTCATTGGATTTAGATGATTTTGACTTTTTCTTGGATGAAGATGTTGTAGTTACAAATGGTGAAGAAGTTATTTGACCATTGAATGTTTTCAACTTATCGAGATAAGATGTCAAAATAACTTTTTTCATTTCATTTGTTTTAGAAGATTCTTTGATAATTCCTAATTCACTTTGAGCAAGTTCAATAAACAGGATAGCTCTACCATGAGGATCATTAGTTGGATGGGTTTTTAATGATTGTTTAAAATATTCAGGATCCAGAATATCAACCAAGTCATATGGAGATTTAGTATTGTTATTCAGCGAATCAAAAGTGTCATAACATTTTTTAACAATATGTTCCAACCGCGTTCTTAGTTTCCTATCTATTTGTAGTCCATTGTGGAGTCTAGATTGCATATCAGCACCATTACACCTCTCATAATTATTGTACAACAATTTTAACGAATCCAGCGTTTCACTTATAATTGATAATTTAGTTTTTTCCATAACAGCATTTCTGTCACTAGAAAATGGATAATCCTCTTTGACATCAATTGACAACTCTTTTAAATTGGATGACAGAAGTAATTGTTCAAGTGAATTGATTGAATCACTCAGTAAAACTGATAATTCGGACCATTTTTTAGGTAATACTCCGTAGTTTAATAAATTAGTAATACTCGTTGGGCACTCCATCTTTCTTGTGTTTGATACCAAGTGATGAATATATATTCACTATACAAATCACAACATACAAATACAATATCACAATATCTTATTCTATGACATTCAAATACACCAAGAATGGTGTAAAGTTGTTATGATATTACATCATGTGTTGTATTGAACTGAATAAGCACAGCATTTCATATTGAATGAGTTTATGTTGCATACAAATCTAGAAGCGCGCAATTTGATTTCAAAAAATCATCTCTTTTTTTATTTTTAATATTAATTAATTTAATATTCTTGAATTTGGACAGCAATGATTGCAAGTTTGACAACAACAATAAATCTTTCTTGATTAAAATCAAATTAAATCCATCCATGCTTCCCAAAAGTCGATTGATATCATTGGCGTTTATCATTATTGACTCAGTCATCACTAGCAAAGAGTGGCAACAAGTGGAGCAATAGGTCTTTAGGTTATTATGCTGACCAAATCTTTGAGAAGTGGCATGAATATCATTAAAATTATCCGCACGTATCTCTACTTCTTAAGCCTCGTTTCAACATGCCATTGCTCTTTCAAAAACAATGTTCAGCAACTTTACGACTAAATTTATGGATTAATTGACTTAAGATTAAAAAGGGAACCGCGCGAGCTGTCAATTGCCGAATGGATTGAAACATAGCTCATCGTTTCGAGCATAATTGATATTTAAAAAGAGAAATGCAGTTTCTCTGTTATATTTGTTGCGAAATTTCGCTTTGATATTAAAAAGAGCGAGCTAGAGAAGGACACCCAGAGCCCAATAAAACACATAAATATTATCATCACCTTTAATAATACAAAATCTAATAAAATCTAATTTAACAATAAAAATAGACTCTATTTAGTTGTCCATCTCGGTGAAACATAGCATAGCATTCATCAATGTAATTTTAACCATTGTAAAATGTAGCTTGTCAGACTTTCGTCGACATTTTTGTACTTTAAACTTTGCAAATTTACTTTGCTTTTCAAATGCAGAATGCAAAGCATTTTTAGCAAGACTTCAGTTTCTTTTCGAAAATGAAAGTTCCATAGCTAGGATTCCAAGCTAATAATTCCAAGTATTGATAATAAATGTAAATGAATGCACGAACCCAACAAACCATCAAAGGTTTTCCTAATATTTCTTCATAGACCGGATCATCTCAAACAAAATTTTCCCGAATATCCATATACTCTTGATTTCGGTAAAGCATTGAATGTTAGGTCACAGTAGAGTTGTTCAAACATGAGTATAACATACAATTCACAACATAAAAACAATAAATTAAATAAAAAATGGGTATAAAGTTTTTTGATGCATTAAATGACCATTCATCTTGAAACAGAGTTACAATAGTCTAGTGAGTTCAATCTATTGGCAAAATTTTGATTTTCACCAAATTAACTGATATGTCATTTTGCATTTATAGCTCAAAACATTGTATCTGAGTTTGAAGCTCGCGGACAAATTAGTTTTTCCCAATTTTTTGTCATCAAGCTGTGAAGTCTATCGTAATGATTCCGCATTTTAATTACTGTTGATTTCAAACCAATCCATTCATCTTCATCGAAAACAGCAAGATATTCCTGGTAATCCTCCTGTGAAGCGATGAAAAGTATTTAAATATTAATAATTATCTAAACCATAAACATACAATACACAGCCTATTTAATCAAACTAATACTTACTACGAATTGATATTTTTCAATTTTCTTGACGATTCCTGCGCGCGTATTGTGATATTTTATCATAAAACTGTAGTAGGTAAAGCCGTCACTCAAAGCAAATCGCACTTCTGCCAAAATTTCCTCCTGGATTATATAAGAAGGAAGTTTTTGAATAATAATGAAAAAGGTATAAAATATTTAATAAACGCCACAAAGAACATCTGAAAATGCAAGGAAAAGGTTTACTAACCTGAATTTCAACTCCAAAATTATTACCATCTTCAATTTTAGGTATCAACAACTGAATCCATAATTTTATCTGATCAATTGAACGAAAATTGACAAATTACGAGCTTATCAAAACACACGATAAAGATAATTGTGTTTGAAAATGAAACTTACCAAATTTAGATCTTCGATGAACTCTTTCATTTTTGGCTTCACCAGATTGCTCATGGCTTTAATTTTATTATTTACAGGGACAGTGATGGCTTGTTTGTGGTCAGTCTCTTCTTGACTTTCTGTAGATTCGATGGAAGCCGCTTTTATTTCTTTTCCTTTCGATGTTGTGGTGGTCGCATTATCTTTTGTAGAGTCGTGATTCATATGCAAATCATTTGGAAGACCAACACGAGATTGTGAAATAATCATTTCTTGGCGTATTCCTTTGATATATTTCTCATCAAAATATTCCTCCTGATAGAACAGAGATAATATCAAATTAATATTTCAAAATTATGATTGCTTTGTTAAGCATTGAACACATGGCTGTAAACATGTGGTAACTAAATAAAGCTAAACATGCGAAATCTCAAAGAGTACTCACCGCAAGGAAATCATTGAGAGCTAGTACTTTACGGGGAAAGTCTTCCTTGATAAGCTTTTGAACTTTACCGTTAACTTGATCATGCCATTCAGATAACTATGAAACAAAAAATAACTAAGTTTTAAAATAAAACAAAAAAATTTTCTTACAACTTTCTTCTTGCTTGACCAATCGACTTCACTAGTTAAAAACTGAAACAGTCGAGTCTCAATTATTGAGTGTGAGACACCCAAGAAAAAACACCGAAACAAAATGAATTTTTGAGACAGAATAAACATAATATCTGATTTAATTTGTAGATACCTGAGGCACAACGGGAATATTTCGATCCAAGATATTTTTGGATGATTCCATGTTAACAATATTTCAATTTGATGAACTCACAATGTTTATAATCTTTACGTTTAAATACTCAGAGAATAGCAAAGAGTATTATTTTGCGGGGAAATTAACTGTTTTGTAGGATTGAAACTAACATGAAATTTATAATCATTTGTAAGATGATCAAGAAATTATTGTTTTCTTATTGCGATATCACAGGAAATATCTTACCACATTATGAACATGTTGGTAATACTCTAATTACTTGTTAAACTGATGCTAGTTTATGCATGAACATGATTTACATTGTAATTTGAATCAATTTTTATTAAAACTTAATTTCGTTACAAATACAAGATTCATCAAAAATAAAAAAATTTGATGGAGACACTTCAACAGGTCCAAAATGAATAATCCTGAACTCATATTTCCAACAATTTCTCAACAAAGTATCCATATCCATACAACATATTCTTATATGTTAAATATTCTCATTTATATTTAATTTTAATATTTAAAATCATCAGATTTTTGCGAAAAATTGTAACTAAACGGAAAGGATTCCAAGGACAGTTTTACAGTCGGAAAGCCACAATTGACCTTCATGTCTGAAAAATAGTCATAGGTTGAATAAGCAACTGAGAAATTCACGTTTAAACAGGGTTGGGGAAAAATGCAGAATCCGTATTTTGTAGCATTGTGTTTGGGTTGAAAACTTTTTGATTAATTAAGGTTGATGGTTTATTGTTGGACTAGGAGTATATGGAAAACTGTCTTTCGAGTAAAGAGTTTAGTTAATGATCTGGTGTCTCAACTAAACAAAAAGAGACCAAATGACAAATTTCAAACTCGATTCCGTCAATGATTGTCCATCGAAAAAACTTTTTAATTCAGAATTTGAGTCTTTAAATGGCATTGAATTTATTGTAAACAAGGAAAAGAAATTTGCGATCATTCATGATCGGGCGATCCACTTGTTATACGTTATTGTATAAAGATGATATTGAGATTTGATTTGTTTAGTTAATTTATGCAAATTTTGGTAAATTTTGCAAGTGAAATGAATGAGTTGAATGAAAATATAAACGCGATTCCTAATCTTTTGGCATCCCCTGTATTTTAGTTCATAAATTCAATAATTAATGAAAAATTTTCATCAATAAACTTTTCTTAAAATTTAGTTATGCTTGTGGTAAAAATCTTGTCTGCTTGATTGTCTGAGCGTTATTAACATTTCTGGCGTCACAAGAGGCAAAATCTGTGACTGCCCTTCATTGAAAAAGGGAAAACTTGGTTAATCTAAGAAAATTTTTAATCATCAAAAAATTATATCGCGTGCTTCTGCACTTTTTAGTCAATATAAATTCACAAGACTACTGTAATGCTATCATGGTATGAGCTGTTTATTCAGACTCAATTACATTATTACATGGTGGAATTAAATAACAATTTTATACCATTCTTGGTAGATTTAAATGTTCATTGTATTAAAATATTATATTATGTTATTATGGTACTGTAATACTTATATGATGTAAATTGTATAGCTTATATATTCATCACTTTGTATCGAAATCAAGAGTTTACCGATTTAATTTTCGATTCAAAACGATACAGTTTAACGATTAAATTGTGAATGTGCAGCAAAACACATTGAACTATGGGTAAATCAAATAGCGCGCTTTTCATTGTTGAGTCATAGATTGAACCTAATAATCAACTGTGAATTTACCAGTAATTTTGTTGTGATACGAGCTGATTTATCAGTGCAATTCAATCATGTAATTTCAATGTGTTTTTAAACACAAAACATCTAACTTTATCGAGTTGAATTTTTTTAATATATTTGTTGAGATTATATTATTGGTTTGTTGTGATTGTGTTGTTTGTAAATTCATCACTTGTTACCAAAATAAGTAGTTTACCAACTTGATTTTTGATTATTTGACAAACGAAGCAGTGTAACGATTAAATTGTGAATGTGCCATTGAGATGGAGTGCCCAACGAGTATTACTAATTTATTAAACTACGGAGTATTACCAGAAAAATGGTCTGATTTATCCGTTTTACTCAATGAAACAATTATTTCACTTGAGCAATTGCTCCTGTCATCCAATTTAAAAGAGTTGTCAATTGATGTCAAAGAGGATTATCCATTTTCTAGTGACAGAAATGCTGTTATGGAAAAAACTAAATTATCAGTTATTAGTGAAACGCTGGATTCGTTGAAATTGTTGTACAATAATTTTGAGAGGTGGAATAATATTGATATACAATCAGCCTTTCTTTACCATGGAAGAAATATAGATTGTTGGATAAAAACGAAGATCCAACAGCTTGTTAATAATTGTAAAGACACTATTGATTCGCTGAATGATAACGCTAAATCTCCATATGACTTGGAAGCCATTCTGGATCCTGATTATTTTAAACAATCATTAAAAATTTATCCAAGCAACGATTTACATGATAGAGCTCGCTTGTTTATTGGACTTGCTCAAAGTGAATTAGGAATTATCAAAGAATCTCCTGTAACAAATGAAATGCAAAAAGTTATTTTGACATTTTATCTCGATAAGTTGAAAACATTAAATGATCAAATAACTTCTTCATCGTTAGTGACTAAACCATCTTCATTTAAGAAAAAGTCAAAGTCGTCCAAGTTCAATGAAATTAACAAGATTTGTGAAATTATGAGGAAATGTCAACGACTGATCAAAGACTTTTATGGCTTGATACAAATTTTAACTTTCAAAGATTATTTCAATGAAAAAGATGAAATTTTTATTGTAATTAATGAGAAAGGACGTGATGCTGCATCTGAGGTTTGCAAATTCATAGAAAGTATAAAAACCGAATGGATTAAAAAAGACTGTGCCAATATAACTCGAGCAACATGTCGAAGCAGTGCATTACGAAGACTAAATATTACCTTAAAATTAACAAAAAAATTGGATTCTTATAAGGATGACTTGGAGTCATCTTATATAATTCTTGGACTGAAAAACATAGCGACAGAGATTTTAAATATAAATGTTTTATTCGGAACCGTTTCACGTGGAGCTTACTACTTAACATTCAAAGGATTACCTAAGCCAAGAGTTGATGTTCCTCCAAATTTTATTCGAAATGATCCAGTTTATGAAGAAATATATGAAAAACCTTATAATGCCCTTTTTATTGTTTATTTTCATATTTTTGCTTATTATCAGTTCTTGGAATCATTAGATTGGAATCCATTTCAGAACCGCAAGCCACGGAAATTGACTGATTATTTGTGGAATATACAGAGTCTTATTGAAGATGCATTGAACGCTGGTTTCAACCAAGACGAATTGTATAAAATATCATTAGACTTGGCTGATCGTTACCTGCTGACAAAACAAAAGATACATTATGATAGAGAAACTTTAGAGTACAGATTTGATAATTTCAAGCCACTCAAGCCACATAAATTCCCGGAAATCTATAGTAAAATTAACTCAAAGCGAAGAAACAGATGGGACCTGGAAGTTCTTGTCTCTAAATTCGATGGCTTGATCGGGGGGACTAAATCGTAAAGTTACAAATAGAGGACAGTTGATTGTATTTGAAAGAGCAATGGCCATGATGAAACGATCTATTTATTTATTCAAGATTATTCGACGTGATCTTACCCCTGCTGATAAATTTAATAGACTCACAGAACAAGCTTCTAATGAATACTTTTATGCTGCTGAGATTGCGGTTAAACTACTTGACTTATTGAGACCAAATCGTCGAGTTACATTTAGTTTCTCAGCAAATGGACCTTTCACTAAGAAAATAGATTCCATTGGATTGAAGGTGAAAGATGAAAATCATGGAATTCATGGATTCAGAGATTCATGGAAACAGTCAATTCACAAATGAAAAATCTTAAAATTCAAATTAGAGACAAAGAAGCTGATCTGGAATCTGTGAAACATGAAAAAACTCAACTCAAATATTTGCAATCTATTTTGAATCGAAGTAAATTAATTCCAATCGCAGAACTTGAGATGACAGATAAAGATAATATTGAGATACTTCGAGAAATTATTGAAGAATATGAATTTACGATTACCAATTATGGACCTGTTGAAGTCTCTTAATAAATTTATTTTTATTTTTGATGAATTTTGTATTTGTAACGAAATTAAGTTTTACTAAAAGTTGGTTCAAATTACAATGTGCATTATGTTCATGCATAAACTTAGCATCAGTTTAACAAGTAATTATATTACCAACATGTTCATAATGTGGTAAGATATTTCCTGTGATATCGCAATAAGGGAACAATAATTTGAATATTTCTTGATCATCTTACAAATGATTATAAATTTTATTTCTAAACCTAACATCAAAGAGTATAACTCTATTACGCTATTACTCTTTGCCTAACATGGGAGTTCCATTGCTTCAAAACAGTTACTTTACAATTTGCCCAAAAAATAATACTCTTTGCTGTTCTCTGAGTAGGTGAACATAAAGCTTTTTAACATTGTGAGTCAATCAAATTGAAATCTTTTTAACATGGAATCATCCAAAAATATCTTGGATCGAAATATTCCCGTTGTGCCTCAGGTATCTATAAATTATATCAGATATTATTTTTATTCTGTCTCAAAAATTCATTTTGTTTCGGTGTTTTTTCTTGGGTGTCTCACACTCAATAATTGAGACTCGACTGTTTCAGTTTTTAACTAGTGAAGTCGATTGGTCAAGCAAGAAGAAAGTTGTAAGAAAAATGTTTTGTTTTATTTTAAAACTTGTTATTTTTTTCATAGTTAGCTGAATGGCATGATCAAGTTAACGGTAAAGTTCAAAAGCTTATCAAGGAAGACTTTCCCCGTAAAGTACTAGCTCTCAATGATTTCCTTGCGGTGAGTACCTTTTGAGATTTCGCATGTTTAGCTTTATTTAGTTACCACATGTTTACAGCCATGTGTTCAATGCTTAACAAAGCAATCATAATTTTGAAATATTAATTTGATATTATCTCTGTTCTATCAGGAGGAATATTTCGATGAGAAATATATTAAAGGAATACACCAAGAAATGATTATTCTACAATCTCGTGTTGGTCTTCCAAATGATTTGCATATGAATCTGGACACTGTAAAAGATAATGCGACCACCACAACATCGAAAGGAAAAGAAATAAAAGCGGCTTCCATCGAATCTACAGAAAGTCAAGAAGAGACTGACCACAAAAAAGCCATCATTGTCCCTGTAAATAATAAAATTAAAACCATTAGCAATCTGGTGAAGCCAAAAATGAAAGAGTTTCTTGCAGATCTTAATTTGGTAAGTTTCATTTTCAAACACATATATATACAATATCTTTCTTTTGTATTTTGATGAGCTCGTAATTCTTTGTCGATTTTTGTGTTCAATTGATCAGATAAAATTATGGATTCAGTTGTTGATGCCTAAAATTGAAGATGGTAATAATTTTGGAGTTGAAATTCAGGTTAGTAAACCTTTTCCTTGCATTTTTAGATTTTCTTTGTGGCGTTTATTAAATATTTTATACCTTTTTCATTATTATGCAAAAACTTCCTTCTTATAAAATCCAGGAGGAAATTTTGGCAGAAGTGCGATTTGCTTTTAGTGACGGATTAATTTACTATAACAGTATGATAAGATATCACAATACGCGCGCAGGAATCGTCAAGAAAATTGAAAAGTGTCCATTCATAGTAAGTATTAGTTTTATTAAATAGGCTGTGTCCAGCTACGTATTGTATGTTTATGGTTTAGATAATTATTAATATTTAAATACTTTTCATCGCTACACAGGAGGATTACCAGGAATATCTTGCTGTTTTCGATGAAGATGAATGGATCGGTTTGAAATCAACAGTGATCAAAATGCGGAATCATTACGATAGACTTCACAGCTTGATGACAAAAAATTGGGAAAAACTAATTTGTCCGCGAGCTTCTAATTCGGATACAATGTTTTGAACAAACTCTACTATGACCTAACATGCAACGCTCATTATTTGTTGAAGTGTCTTAAATAAATAACTTCAACAAGTAATACACAAGTAACAAACAAGTAACAATTTTTGATGAATTTTATATTTGTTGTAATAAAAATTGGCTCAAATTACAATGTAAATGAATAAACTTAGCATCAGTTTAACAAGTAACTAGAGTGTTACCAACATGTTCATAATGTGGTAAGATATTTCCTGTGATATCGCAATAAGAAAACAATAATTTCTTGATCATCTTACAAATGATGAAAAAAATTTCATTTCTAAACCTTACATGGGAGTTCCATTGCTTCAAAACAGTTAATTTACAATTTCCCCGAAAAATAATACTCTTTGCTGTTCTCTGAGTAGTTAAACGTAAAGCTTATAAACATTGTGAGTTCATCAAATTGAAATCTTGTTAACATGGAATCATCCAAAAATATTTTTGATCGAAATATTCCCGTTGTGCCTCAGGCCGTTTAAATTATATCAGATATTATGTTTATTCTGTCTCGAAAATTCCTCCTGTTTCTGTGTTTTTACTTCAGTGTCTCACACTCAATCAAATTGACACTTGACTTTTCTGTTTCTGTTTTTAACAAGTTAAGTCGATTGGACAAGCAAGGAGAAAGTTGAAACTCATCAAAGATTATCTCTTGTTTTATTCATAAAACAGTTAGATATTCTGGCACCATTTTTGATTAAAGGATTAAACTATTGTTCAAATGTTTTTAAGGAACAAGAACAACGAGGAGAACAATTTCCATGGAACAAGAACAGGAACAAGATAACAAAATTTGAAAAAATCGATACATCAACGTTTTTCGGGTTGAATCAAAGAGCAATAGCTAGAGTTATACTCTTTGGGTTAGCTTGAATACCTCTGCTGGCTATGAGTTACTTTAGGTACTCATTTATTGCGTCACCTTTGTTCTTGTTGTTTCTCGTCTGATTACACGAAAGAGCTTTGTTTTGTTCTGTTCTAGATTCTGGGTTGATCTGTTCCTAGGTTGTTCTTAGTTCCCATCTCGGAAGCAAGTAATGCGTACCATCATCTTGATTTGGAATTCAATGGGGCGATTTTAACCAAATTTGGTATTAAACATCTAAAGTTTGGTAATTTGCTAGTAGAATTTTATTGAATTATTTTTTTTCTGCTTCGCTTTTATTGAATTCAGAGAAGTCTATGGAAAAACTCAATGTCTAAATGTTCAACACTTGAATGCCAAGGAAAGTTTATTCATGAAATTAATGAAATTATAATTCGAAATAAATCAATAGAGAATTTATGAAATAAAATATAAAATGATACATGTAATAAAATGTAAAGTATTGAATAAGAATAATTTGTTTAAGAACTTTCAACAGGTCCATATTTAGTAATCGTAAATTCATATTCTTCAATAATTTCTCGAAGTATCTCAATATTATCTTCATCTGTCATCTCAAGTTCTGCGATTGGAATTAATTTGCTTCTATTTAAAATAGATTGCAAATATTTAAGTTGAGTTTTTTCATGTTTCACCGATTCCAGATCAGCTTCTTTGTCTCTAATTTGAATTTTAAGATTTTTCATTTGGGAACTGACTGTTTCAATGAATTCATCTTTCACCTTCAATCCAATGGAATCTATTTTCTTAGTGAAAGGTCCATTTGCCGAGAAACTAAATGTAACTCGACGGTTTGGTTTCAATAAGTCAAGTAATTTAACCACGATTTGAGCAGCATAAATATATTCATAAACAGCTTGTTCTACCATTTTGTTGTATAGTTTTTCGCGAGTTTCTAAATCATCGCTATAAGGGTATCGAAGTATCCTGAATAAATATATAGCTCGTTTCATCATGGCCATTGCTCTTTCAAATACAGTCAACTGTCCTCTATTTGTAACTTTACGATTAAGTTGACTGATTAAACCATCGAATTTATTAACTAGAACTTCCTCCAGTCTCCAGCGCTTCATTCTGTGTTGTGAATTGAATATTTCAATTATTTCCGGGAATTTATAAAGCTTTAATGCCTTGAAACGATCAAATCTGTACTCTAAAGTTTCTCTATCATAATTTATCTTTTGTTTTGTCATTAGGTAACGATCAGCGTAGTCTAATGCTATTTTATAAGATTCATCTTGGTTGAAATCGGCATTCAATACAACGTGAATATTCCAGCAAAGGTCTGACAGATAATCTTGCAGTTTCCATGGTTTTCGACATTGAAATGGATTCCAATCTAATGATTTCAAGAACTTATAATATTTAAGTATTTGAAAATAAACAATAATAAGTCCATTATAAGGTTTTTCATGAATTTCCTCATAAATTGGATCATCTCGAATAAAATTTGTAGGCACATCGACTCTTGGCTTACAAAATGGATCTAACTTATTGAATGTTAAGAAGTACGCATTATTGTAAACCCACTTGAATACTTTGTCTAAATGTAAAGTATCAGTTACTATGTTTTTGAGTCCAAGAATTATATATGACGATCCCAAGTCATCCTTACAGGAATCCAGCTTTTTTATTAATTTTAAGTTGACATTCAGTTTGCTTAATGTATTACTCCGACATGTTGCTAGAGTTACATTTTCACTGCCCCTTTTAAGCCAACCAACTTTCATAGTTTCTATGAATTTGCAAACATCAGAAATAGCATCACTGCCTTTCTCATTAATCAAATTGAAAATTTCATCGCTTTCATCATAATGATCTTTAGAAATTGAAATTTGCATCAAGCCGTAAACGTCTTTGATTAATCGTTGACATTTCCCCATAATATCACAAATCTTGTCGATCTCTTTGGATTTAGATGACTTTGACTTTTTCTTGGATGAAGATGTTGTAGTTACCAATGATGAAGACGTTATCTGATCATTCAATGTTTTCAACTTATCGAGATAAGATGTCAAAATCACTTTTTGCATTTCATTTGTTTTAGGAGATTCTTTGATAATTCCTAATTCACCTTGAGCAAGTTCAATAAACAAGATAGCTCTACCATGTAGGTCGTTAGTTGGATGAGTTTTTAATGATTGTTTTAAATAATCAGGATCCAGAATGGCTTCCAGGTCATATGGAGATTTAGCATTCTTGCTTAGCGATTCAAAAGTGTCATTACAATTTTCAACTAGTTGTACCAATCGTCTTCTTAAATTTCTTTCTATATCATGTTCAACGGTTGTATAGTATGTTATATAATCACCATCGCACCTCTCAAAATTATTGTACAATATTTTCAATGAATTTAGCGTTTCACTGATAACTGATAATTTAGTTTTTTCCATAACAGCATTTCTGTCACTAGGAAAAGGATAATCCACTTTGGCATCAATTGCCAATTCTTTTAAATTGGATGAAAGAAGTGATTGTTCAAGTGAACTGATTGAATCACTTAGTAAAACTGATAATTCGGACCATTTTTTAGGTAAAACTCCGTAGTTTAATAAATAAGTAATACTAGTTGGGCACTCCATTCTGTTGGTTTCAAGTGATGAGTATAAACACACTAAACAATTCACGAGACAAAAATAACTAAATATCTTAATACAATGACATTTAAATACACCACAAATGGTGTAAATTTGCTATGATATTACATCATGTATTGTATTGAACTGAATATATGTAATCACTTTATTTCATATTGAATGTGTTCATCTTGGTAAGCCCTATTCGTACAAAAAAATATCTGATAAGATTCTAATCCTTGGATATGTAGTAGACTTTTATTTGGCTTAAGAGTACGGCGCGTCTGTTTAAACTCTATGGAATAGTGTCAAAAACTTGATTATTTAGGTTAAGATTTGAGACTTTGTGGATTTGTAGGGACTAATTACCACATTTATGCACAAATTGACAGAAATGGGCAAAAAACGGGTAAAAATTAGTTTCTTTCACATTTAGACTCTTTTGTAGGGACATGAGAACTGAGTTCATTTGTGCAGTTTAAAGATTCCTCTGGTAGATAGTTTCTGAGGAAATCGAGGTCAAAGTTCAGCTTCGATTGCCTTTTGTTCATTTATGAAAGGCAATCGAAGCAAAAAATTAAGCACTTTTCAATTTATTGACCGTTCTTTTGATTTAGCCATTGGCATAAAATAATGCTCAGACCAGCTTTGAACCCTCAATCCTTTCAAAATCTCATTGCAATAACTTACTCTCTATCCACTGGACTGCCCTAATTTATTTTAAATTGGTGTTTAGCTCATCGTTATTATTGTTTACCTTTTTAAATCAAGCTTAGTGTTTGAATTACACAAGAGATGGCGTTGAAATTCGCATTTGTACAAATAGTCTCAGAGCCTATTCGTACAAGTTTTTTGTACGAATAGGCCTTTCCGTTCATCTTGCCTACAAAATCTAGAAGCGCGCAATTTGATTTAAAAAAATTATCCGTTTTTTGATTTTGCATTACACTACAGAGATTTTTGAGCGTAATCAAAAATTATAAGATGGTGAATTGACGCAAATTACCTAGGCTAGGACTAAACTATTTGGCCAGTTTCAACCAATTTGATATTATAATAGATTCTCCATGTATCAGCATTGCAGATGCGTAAATTGAATTATGTTTGTTTTGCAATTAATTATTTCGACCTGCCAATTTCGATCAACTTTGAAAATTTGCCATTTTGTCCACGTTAGTCGATGGGATAGTCAAAGGCAACATATCTTTGAAAGTTCAGCCTTGAAAGGCTAAAAGGCTAAAAATGTTCAATAACCATTAAATTGGAAAAATCTGATGCAGTTTAAATCGAAATCTGCGTCAAAGCTTTTAGTTAAATTAAATGAATTCATCTTTCACCTTCAATCCAATGGAATCTATTTTCTTGGTGAAAGGTCCATTAGTCCAGAAACTAAATGTAACTCGACGATTTGGTCTCAATAAGTCAAGTAGTTTAACCACAATCTCAGCAGCATACATGTACTCATTAACAGCTAACTGAGTCTTGCGAATATATTTTCGGATTGATTTTTTTGGTTAACCTCTCGAATAATCTGGAATAAATATATAGATCGTTTCATCATGGCCATTGCTCGTTCAAATATAATTAGTTGACCTCTATTTGTAACTTTACGATTGAGTTGACTGATTAAACCATCGAATTCACTAACTAGAACTTTCTCAAAATCCCACCTTTTGTATCTGCGCTGTGACTTGAATACTCTGATTATTTCCGGGAATTTGTAAAGCTTTAGTGGCTTGAAACGATCAAATCTGTACTCTAAAGTTTCTCTATCATAATGTATCTTTTCTTTCGTCATTAGGTAATGTCAGCCTTTACTGTAATTGTTGCAATCAATTTTTGCTCGATTAATAGACTTACTGTGCACATAAGCTATTCCCAGGTAGTGAAATTATCTGGTAGATGACAGTAATTAAAACTGTAACTCGCGACAGCTGAAAATTCATAAGATATACTAAAATGAAATTTTGATTGCTAAAATTATTCAAATTACTTGTTTAAATAATTCAATTTTGAAATTTAATGCATTTCAGAAGATTAAATTTATGAAACGATAAATCGGAAATTATTTTTTACTCCATAATATGTTGCTTTTTTGTCTTCATGGCTCAGAACATTGTATCCGAGTTTGAAGATCGCGGACAAATTAGTTTTTCCCAATTTTTTGTCATCAAGTGATAAAGACTATTGTAATGATTTCGCAATTCCTTCACTACTAATTTCATATGGAGCCATTGCTTTTCATCAATCTCGGCAAGACAATCCCGGTAATCCTCCTATAGAGAAATGAAAAGTGTTTGATGAATTAAATGTATGGTCGATAAATAGATCGAGACATTAAAAACCATATTCAACTAAATCACTTACTATGAATGGATACTTAGCAATTTTCGAAATGATTTTTGCCCGTGAATGGTGATATTTTGATGTTTCATCATAGTATATAGCGGCTTCACCCTCAGTTGAGCGAACTTCTTCCAAAATGTCCTCCTGAAATGAATAAGCATTGGTGAGTATTAAAATTAATGATAGAGAGAGACAATCAAAATGAATCTCAATAATATCTAATGAAAGATGCACTTACTTGAATTGAAACTCCGAAATTATTACCATCTTCAATTCTAGGTATCAACAGCATGACCCATAATTTTATCTGATGAGTTGAATGAAAAAACAACAAAGAATTACGAGATTATCAAAACACATGAGAACGTGGTGTGCATTTCAAAAACAAAACTTACTAAATTTAGATCTTCAACGAGCTCCTTAATTTTTGGCTTTAACATATTAATGATGGTTTTAATTTTATTATTTCCCGGGACCGTGTTGGCTTGTTTGTGGTTAGTTTCTTCTTGACTTTCTGTAGAATCAATAGAAGCCGCTTTTCTTTTCTTCCCTCTTGGCGTTGTGGTAGTCGCATTATCTTTTGTAGAGTCGTGATTCATATGCAAATCATTTGGAAGACCAACACGAGATTGTGGAATCATTATTTCTTGGCGTATTCCTTTAATATATTTTTCATCAAAATATTCCTCCTGTTAGAACAGAGATAATATCAAATTAGTATTTCAAAATTATGATTGCTTTGTTAAGCATTGAACACATGGCTGTAAACATGTGGTAACTAAATAAAGCTAAACATGTTAAATCTCAAAAAGTACTCACCGCAAGGAAATCATTGAAAGCTAGTACTTTCCGGGGAAAGTCTTCTTTGATGAGCTTTTGAACTTTCTCGCTAACTTGATCATTCCATTCTACTAACTGTAAAAGAAAAAAATAACTGTGGTTAGATTATTGGTGAGGTAAAGATAAACAAGAGAAAAAGCATGTTGAGTAAGAACACACTTAGGCAAAGAGGGCAAGTAAAAATACTCAAAATAGCCTTATTTACCTTAGGTACAACAGGCACGTCTCGTTTAAGGATATTTTTGTTAGCCATAATAACGATAATTCAATATTAATTCAATAAATGACTAAGATATAAGAAAAATTACAATAAAATACCGGCAATATATTTAAACAATAGTTGAATGTACGATGGCTCATCACTCCTTACATGCAGTGACATTAGGGAATGTTTATAAATATTATGAGTTAGCTTGTTCAGCTTACAAATTCAATTATTTAATCTTATCATTTTTTAATTCGATTTGATACTATTTTGATAAGCTTGAAAAAAATCAAAAATGCTTATTTATCAAGACAATCAGCAAGTTAGACCCAAAAGATAGCAAGTTTGAGTTAGAGTACACTCGTTTGCATTAAGTTTGTTACTTGTAAACACAGCTGACAACGTAATTTTTCACATACGTTTGTAATTAATAGATAAGAATAGGAAAAAGAAACAATAATGAAAGTGTAATCAATTACTGATAAAATTAAAGATTAAAAGTATAATGTAAAATGAAAAATTATGCTATCAGCTGTGTTTACAAGTAACAAACTTAATGCAAACGAGTGTAGTCAAACTGATGAGAGAAATGGAGATCCATTTTCAAATTAAAATCACAAAATAGATAGCAATTGATAAAACAACACCAGTCTCTAAAATCTAACCAGATTACTACGGAACATACCGAAGAGTCTATTTTAAAAATCATGAAAAGTGACTAGAGATATTTTCAGCCGTCAATTTCAAAGGATTTAAAATTTTCATTGATCTCAAGAGCTAACAACATTTTAATATTTGCTCCAAATTTCACCCTGAACATTATCTCACAGTTGATAGCAATTTGAACAAAAAATATCGAATCAGCTTGTAATTTCACAACGTAAGCTAATAATCAATACAAAAAACACATAATATTGAAACTCTATATTCATGCAGGAGAATAAGCAATTATCACAAATGATTTACATCAAAACAATTTGACATTGTAACTTAATAATTCCTTCATCAGTTACTATTTTCAATTCACATCAAAAAATGATACTAAATTACCATTGAGATAGTAACCTTGCATGGAAATGGCTGATTTTTAAAATCTGAAGAACCATTCAAATTCTTGGTTTTAATTTTAATAAGATTTAAATAAGTCTTACCTGATTCACTGGATAAAGATTACATTCACAATTGAGCTTCAACTTAAGAAACTACACTTTATTTTTAAATGGTCCCTAATGAAGGGGGTTAACATTTAATCAAATTTTCTTTCAACTTTTCTAATTAGCAACCAATTTAATTTATTTTTTATTCCTGATGATGAAGTTTTAAAGCCTTTACACCTAGAACATTGATATTTAAACAAAACTTGATCCATTGAACAGGATTGTAAGCCATGAAATTAAGCTGCCTGATGAATAAGCTATTTTCAGAGCAGCTTTCCATTTCTGGTTAACTTAATTTTTGTTGGCATTATTGTCTAATATCCAAATGATTAGTGGCATTAAAATTAAAATTTAGAAATTAAAGCATAATTTAATACTGTGCAACTTAGATTGTCTCGTTAGATAATTTTTAAACCAATTCATAACCGTATTGAGAATAGATTTTACGGGTTTCTGTTCCATATTTTAAGAACTCAAAATTTGAGTTAATTATCCATTGCACTTGAATAAAATTTGAGCAATTATTAAACAGCCTGTTCAGGGGATGTATTCGGATGTGTACAAAAACAGAAGATAAATCAGTCAATCATTGGGAACATAAAATATAAATCAATTTAATCAAGACGAATAATCAATAAATTGATGGGAGTAACTTCGATGGCATTCAAAAAAGCAATTGAAAAGCAATACGATTAAGAAGTTTACGTAAATTTAACGTCACGATTAACAAAATTTCTACATGCATACATTTAATTGCAAGACTATTAAAATTGTCCGTCAGGATTGTCTTCGAATCAACAGAATTGAGAGGGAAATTAATTTCTAATAATATTGCTGATAATTTGTTTAAGATTTCATGTCATTTTGTTGCATTAAAATTTTAACATTTTGTTTATTTATGCCGAGTGTAAACAGAAAAAGAGTTGTGAAAAATGAATGATGAATTTCAACCGTTTTTGCATTTCTTAAGAGTATAAGAGGCTTTATTGAATTTAATGTGACTTGTGTCTTTGTATTCTTGAACATTCTGTCCATTTCAATAAAATATCAGTGATCTGAAATGACATGGTTACATTTATTTATTAAATATTTTCAAGAGTTTCTCGTGTTGTCAAGATTACACAAGTGTCAATGCTTTTACTTTGAAGCTGCTAACTTGTTCTGTTGGTCGCTTTTGTTCCATCTTGTGATAATCTTTGAAAATGTAAATAACACATTCTACTGTTTCATCTGTTTACTTGAAATTTGGTGTATTCAAACTATCACCGTTATAACATAATTTCCGCATTATCAAGAGTTATTGATTCAATCGAAAGACTATACAATGTCTGTCAATTACTCAGCTGGTTTGTCTTACTATGAGGATAAAGGAGTTTGTGGTTTGCCTGAGGTGAGTGGTTTTTGTTTTGATAACTATTTATTTATTTCCATTATCGGAATTCAGATTTATCACCTAATCTTTATGTTTTCCTTATCATGTGAACTTGGTAGGTTGTCGAAAATCCAGAATCCATCGAGGAAAAGATCAAAACCTTGGCTGAATGGATCAAAACATCAGAATGTGTAGTCATTCACTGTGGAGCTGGTATATCAACGTCTTGTGGAATACCTGATTTTCGTGGCCCCAAAGGTGTTTGGACTTTGGAGAAGGCAGAGGAAGATGCAAATAAGAAAAGTTCCAAGAAAACAAAAAAAGATTTTATTAAGCCTGATGATGTCAAAGTAGAATCCCATGAACAATCTAATGAATCAACTGGACAAAGCATTTCTTTTGAAGATTCAAAGCCAAGCTTTACTCACAGGTTTGTATATCTATTTTATGTCTATGTTATGTTATGTATTTTATTACTATTTTACATGACTAGAATCAATAATTTAAATGCTGCCTGTGTTGTTGTGATCAATTAATGAACAGCTTTATGTAGAACTATTTCAATATTAATTCCAATTTTACCCTTTCCATTCCACAGAGCATTATCTCAACTTGCTTCATCTGGAGTCATACATTTTATTATCAGTCAAAATGTTGATGGATTATTTCTCAAAACTGGAATCAATCGTCGTTTCATTTGTGAACTACATGGCAATTTTTTCCTCGATGAATGTAATGTTTGTGATAATCGTTTTATACGCTCAACCTCAAGTCCAACCATGGGTTTAAAAGTTTCAACTCGACCTTGTCCCCGACCTGGAAGACCCTGTAGAGGCTATTTAAGAGATACAATACTTGATTGGGAAGATGATTTACCAATAGGTGAATTAGAAAAGGCTCAAAAATTTGCTAACAAAGCTGATCTATCAATATGCCTTGGAACTAGCTTACAAATTGTTCCAGCTGCCAATCTTCCTTTCGTTTGCAAAAAGAGAAAATCAAATCCTGGAAAAGTCGTTATAATCAATTTACAGCCAACTAAATTTGATCACCGATCTGACTTGGTAATACACGATTACGTTGATTCTGCTTTACAGCTTCTCTGTAAATTTTTAGACGTTTCTGTACCTGAATATGACCCTTCACGCGATTTAACAAAAAAAGAAGATGTGGATCGAAATAAAGTTTGGAAATGAAACTACTGAAAGCATTTTTTAACTCAAATCTGTATCTATTTTGTACACAATTTTATCTTAACGTTAAATGTGTAAATAATTTTCCTTGATTTAAAAAGCTTCATTCAGTTTCATTCAGTTTCTCGCGATACAATGAATAATTGATTATTTGATTGAATATTGATTAACCCATCACAATTCTCGTTCAGTAATCTGGCCTTAAATACTTAATGGCGCTATGATTCCAAGAACCAATGTCAAAATTTCCAAAAACTAAATTTTCAACTGTAAATATTAGAACAGTAACTTTAGGTCCAAAAGTTTGCCCACAAAAAATATCCACGAAGCCGGTGATTAGGTTTTCGGCACTCGCCATTGGCATTCATTGAAAAAGACCATTTGAAAATAGAGCGGTTACCAAGTTAGCCCCATAATGAAGACGTAACATAACATTAGTTAGAAAAGGTGTTTCCACTTCTTACTAAAAAACGTTGGTTAAGCCAACGCTTATGGGAAACAATCAAATGGGTTAATCAATAAGATATGATAAAATATCAACATCAATCAACGAAAACATTAATTGTCACAAAAAAGATCAAAAAATGTTAAAAAAAATAGAAGACAAAAGAAAAAATCACTGATAAATTGTTGGGATGAAAATGTGAGTGAGAAAAAAGTGAGCTGTTGAAGGTGACTCTGGTGTAGAAAAGAAAGTTTATTCTTTACTCTTAAACTCATTTGAGTTGTTAGACCGTTTGTTTATTTTCAATTTCTTGAGCCTAATTTTTTTCTAGTTTTAGTTTATTTCTAGGCTCTTCTTTTTTTATAATTATTAATCATCATGTCACAATCACTTCCAATTAAGTTCCAGGAGCATCTTCAGGTAAATATTTGTTAATTATTTTCTCAGTTAATCTCTTCTTTTTTTCATTCAATCTGTTCAATTGTGGATAAAGCAGAAACCAGAGAGGCAGTTAATAGCTGAAACCACCTCATACACGCACACACACACAGGAAGTCTTTCTCCTTTCCTGCTGATGCTGCTGTTTTTACCGGTTTTACCATTTTTTTAAAATTCGTATTTCCACCTTTAATTAAAGGTTGATTACGTAATTGACATCTACAAAATTTGACTTGAGATTAATCTCGAAATTTCCACCCATTGAAGTTGATACTGGCTGTAGCAACTCAATGTAGATGAATTGCCGGCTTTCAGCATTGTGGCTATTCTCTATTTTGTTTTCTCTCTGTTTTCTGCTTTAAGATCTTGATTGTCGACTGTTATTTGATAAAGCTTTACGCCCCTCTGGTATATAAGCAGAGAATAATTAATATTGCCTTGATAATTGATGCTTATATCATACTTTTTCTATTTCTGCCGTTTCTACCCTTTTTTCTAATCAACCCTTACTCTATTGTCTCTTATCATATAGCTCACGGCAATTGGAATCAATGCGGCAAATATCACCTTCAATACTCTTACCATGGAGTCGGACAAATTTATCTGTGTCCGAGAAAAGGTCGGTGATTCAGCTCAGGTTGTCATTATCGATATGTCCAATCCAACGACTCCCATTCGGCGGCCCATTTCTGCTGATTCAGCCATCATGAATCCAGCCTCAAAAGTGATTGCACTTAAAGCAATGAGAACTTTACAAATATTTAACATTGAAATGAAATCAAAAATGAAAGCTCATACCATGGCAGATGATGTTGTTTTCTGGAAATGGATTAATGTAAATACAATTGCTCTTGTCACCGAGACTGCTGTTTACCATTGGAGTATGGAGGGTGACTCACAGCCAGTCAAGATGTTTGATCGTCATGCATCTCTCACTGGCTGTCAGATTATTAATTATCGAACTGATCATAGAGTCCAATGGCTACTTTTGATTGGTATTTCCGCCGCAGTAAGTTTTCATTAATGACATATTTCACTAAATTTCAACCATGAAAGCAATCTCATTACAGTTTGATATTGACTGTCTTATCTTAATTTTCTTGTCCTATAGCAAGGTCGGGTTGTTGGAGCTATGCAACTTTACTCCACTGAACGTAAAGTTAGTCAACCCATTGAGGGTCATGCTGCAGCTTTTTCTACTTTCAAAATGGATGGAAACTCTGAAGTCTCTACTCTTTTCTGCTTTGCAGCCAGAACATCAACAGGTGGAAAGGTAATAGTCAATAGTAAATTTAAAATTTATATGGAAAAATAAGCGCACGTTTTTTCTTGATACAAATATCGTTATATTTATAATTTTTAAATTAATCCTTTTTTCCTCATTATTCCACAGCTTCATATTATTGAAGTCGGTCAACCACCAGCTGGTAATCAGCCATATCCGAAGAAGGCAGTTGACGTTTTCTTCCCTACAGAGGCACAAAATGATTTTCCAGTAGCTATGCAGGTTTCAACTAAATATGACATTATCTATTTAATAACCAAGTATGGCTACATTCATCTTTATGATATTGAGACCGGTACCTGTATATATATGAATCGAATTAGTGGTGACACAATATTTGTCACTGCACCTTATGAGCCTACTAGCGGCATTATCGGTGTGAACCGAAAAGGTCAAGTTCTCTCGGTTTGTGTTGATGAAGATGCTATCATTCCATATATTACCACCACGTTAGCTAATCCAGATCTTGCCCTGAGAATAGCCGCTCGTAACAATCTTCCCGGTGCTGAGGAACTTTTTGTTCGTAAATTTAATACACTCTTCTCGAGCGGTCAATACACTGAGGCTGCCAAAGCTGCTGCTAATGCACCTAAAGGTATCCTCAGAACTCCCGATACAATTCGTCGATTTCAACAAGTGCCTACCCAACCCGGTCAAACTTCACCTTTGTTGCAATATTTCGGTATACTTTTAGATCACTTTCAGCTCAATAAATATGAATCCCTCGAGTTGTGTCGACCTGTTCTCCAGCAAGGTCGTAAACAGCTTTTAGAGAAATGGCTAAAAGATGATAAGGTAAGATTAAAATTTTGCTGAGACAATGTATAAAAGTTTGAAAATTAATTTTTACTTATGCTTTCCTTTATTTCAATTCAGCTTGAATGTAGTGAAGAGCTTGGTGATTTAGTTAAAGCTGTCGACCCAACTTTGGCTCTTTCTGTTTACTTGCGGGCTAATGTTCCCAATAAAGTTATTCAATGTTTTGCTGAAACTGGGCAGTTCCAGAAAATTGTATTGTATGCAAAAAAAGTTGGATACACCCCCGATTACTCTAACTTGTTGAGACAAGTGATGAGAACCAATCCTGACCAAGGAGCAGCTTTTGCTCAAATGTTAGTGCAAGACGAGGAACCACTTGCTAATATCAATCAAATTGTCGATGTTTTCATGGAATCCAATTTGGTTCAACCTTGCACAGTTTTCCTTCTAGAAGCTCTAAAAAACAATCGACCTGAAGAAGGTCCTCTCCAAACACGTCTGTTGGAAATGAACTTGGTTACTGCTCCTCAAGTTGCAGATGCAATCCTAGGTAATGGTGTTTTCACTCACTATGATAGACCTCATATCGCTTCACTTTGTGAAAAGGCTGGACTTTTGCAAAGAGCACTTGAGCATTACTCGGACCTCTACGATATTAAAAGAGCAATTGTGCATACTCATCTTCTTAACACTGAATGGTTAGTCAATTATTTTGGAACTCTTTCAGTGGAAGATTCTTTGGAGTGCATAAAGGCTATGCTACAACATAACATCCGACAAAACCTTCAAATTGCTGTGCAAGTGGCTACTAAATATCACGAACAGCTTGGTACAACCGCTCTTATTGAACTCTTCGAATCATTTAAAAGTTATGAAGGTTTATTCTACTTCCTGGGATCAATCGTAAATTTCAGTCAAGATCCAGATGTCCATTTCAAATACATCCAGGCTGCATGTAAAACTGGCCAAATTAAAGAAGTCGAGAGGATCTGTCGACAGAGTAATTGCTACAACGCTGAGCGTGTTAAAAATTTCTTAAAAGAAGCAAAACTTACTGATCAACTGCCATTGATTATAGTATGTGACCGATTTGACTTTGTTCACGATTTAGTTCTATATCTTTATCGCAATAATCTTCAAAAATACATTGAAATTTATGTGCAAAAAGTTAACCCATCAAGATTACCCGTTGTAATTGGAGGTTTATTGGATGTCGATTGTTCTGAAGATGTCATCAAATCATTGATGTTAGTCGTTAAAGGTCAATTCTCAACTGATGAATTAGTTGAAGAAGTTGAAAAAAGAAATCGTTTAAAGCTATTGCTTCCTTGGCTTGAAAATCGGGTTCATGAAGGCTGCACTGAACCAGCTACTCATAATGCTTTAGCCAAGATCTACATCGATTCTAACAATAATCCCGAAAGATTCCTCAAAGAAAACAAATTCTATGATAGTAAAGTCGTTGGTAAATATTGTGAAAAGCGTAACCCTCACTTAGCGTGTGTCGCATATGAAAGAGGCCAATGTGACTTGGAGTTGATTAATGTTTGCAATGAAAATTCATTGTTCAAAAGTGAAGCCCGATATCTTGTTAAGAGAAGAGATTCAGACTTATGGGCACAAGTTTTAGTTGAAACCAATCCATTCCGCAGACCTCTAATTGATCAGGTTAGTATTTAACTCAACTCTATTATGTGAACCAATTTCGTTTCATTTAAACTAATTATTTGTTCTATTTATTAACAGGTTGTCCAAACTGCCCTTTCAGAGACACAAGACCCTGAAGACATTTCTGTAGCAGTGAAAGCCTTCATGACTGCTGATTTACCCAATGAGTTGATTGAACTTCTTGAAAAAATCGTTTTAGATAACTCGGCATTCTCTGACCACCGAAACTTACAAAACTTGTTGATTTTAACCGCAATCAAAGCGGACAGAACTCGAGTAATGGAGTATATAAATCGTTTAGATAATTATGATGCACCTAGTATCGCCAATATAGCAATAAGCTCTGAACTTTATGAAGAAGCTTTTGCTATTTTCAAAAAGTTTGATGTCAATACATCAGCTATCTCTGTTCTCATTGATAACATCAAAAATCTGGATAGAGCCTATGAGTTTGCTGAACGATGCAATGATCCTGCTGTCTGGAGTCAACTTGCCACTGCACAGTTGGGTGAAGGACTTGTTAAAGAAGCAATCGACTCATTCATTAAAGCCGGCGATCCCTCATCTTACATGGATGTTGTTTCAACTGCCCATAAACTTGGAAACTGGGAAGACCTAGTTCGTTACCTTCAAATGGCTCGAAAACGAGCTCGAGATTCAAGCATTGAGTCTGAATTGCTTTACGCTTTTGCTAAAACGGGTCGACTTGCAGATCTTGAAGAGTTTATATCTGCTCCCAACCATGCCGATATCTCTCGAGTGGGTGATCGATGTTATGAAGATGGCCTTTATGATGCCGCTAAGCTGTTGTACAACAATGTCTCCAACTTTGGTCGTCTAGCAATCACGCTTGTTCATCTTAAAGAATTTCAAGGAGCTGTGGACTCTGCACGTAAAGCAAATTCAACACGCACATGGAAGGAGGTTTGTTTTGCTTGCGTTGACCACGAAGAATTTAGATTAGCACAAATGTGCGGTTTACATATTGTTGTCCATGCTGATGAATTGGAAGATTTAATCAATTACTATCAAAGTCGAGGTTACTTCGAAGAACTTATCAGTTTACTCGAAGCTGCTTTAGGTAAGATTTTATTTTCAAATTTTGTCATTGATTAATTTATGTTTTAACAAATTCCTAACAAAATCTATTTTTTTCAAATCGGATTAATTTAGGTCTTGAAAGAGCTCACATGGGAATGTTTACAGAACTAGCTATACTTTATTCCAAATATAAACCATCCAAAATGAAAGATCATTTAGAACTTTTCTGGTCCCGAGTGAATATTCCAAAAGTTTTAAAAGCCGCTGAACAGGCACATCTTTGGTCCGAATTAGTATTCCTTTATGACAAATATGAAGAGTTCGATAATGCAGTAATAACAATGATGGCACATCCAACTGAAGCATGGAAAGAAGGACACTTCAAAGAAATGATAACAAAAGTAGCCAACATTGAGCTTTATTATAAAGCCATTCAATTTTATTTAGATTACAAACCATTGTTATTAAACGATTTACTTCTCATTCTGGCTCCACGTATGGATCATACTCGAGCAGTTAACTTTTTCGGCAAAGTTAATCAACTGCCATTGGTGAAATCATATTTAAGATCCGTGCAAAGTTTAAATAACAAAGCCATTAATGAAGCATTAAATGGTCTATTGATTGACGAAGAAGATTACCAAGGATTAAGAACATCTATTGATGCTTTTGACAATTTCGATAACATTGCATTAGCTCAAAGATTAGAGAAACACGATTTAATTGAATTCCGACGCATAGCTGCCTATCTCTACAAAGGTAACAACAGGTGGAAGCAATCTGTTGAATTATGTAAAAAAGATGGACTTTATAAAGATTCTATGGAGTATGCCGCTGAATCAAAAGACGCTGAAGTTGCCGAAGATCTTTTATTGTGGTTCTTAGAGCGTAAAAATTACACATGTTTTGGCGCTTGTCTCTTCCAATGTTACGATCTCCTTCATCCTGATGTTGTTATGGAATTAGCATGGAGACATGATATAATGAAATATGCTATGCCGTACTTTATCAATGTCATGCGAGAATACATCACCAAAGTTGATGAACTTCAAGAAACAGTGAATACCAAGCTAGAAGAAACTGCTCAAGAGCAAAGCTCACTTGTTTATGGTATGTTAATCTTTTAATTATGAAAAATATTCACAAAATATTGTTATTAAAAATTTTACTCTTCATTACAGCGGCTGAACCTCAATTAATGCTAACTGCTCCACCCGGGATGGCTGGATCATCACCTAATTTAACTGGAATGCCTGGAGTATCAGTAGTGTCTGGAGTTCCCGGTGTTCCTGGAGTACCTGGAGTTACACCTGGAATGTATGCAGGTGGAACGATTGGAGGAACGTTCGGAGGAACTTATCCTTATCAAGGATTCTGAATATAAATAAAATTATTTTAGATTTACAAAAAAATGATGAATCAAAATGTGAATGCAAAAAAATTCCACCCACCTTTACCCCTTATATCTATTAAGTTTTGGATTTGTCATAGATAATTGTATTTGATATACTTTTAAGATTATAGCCATATATTGGTGCGAAAATACAAATGGACAAGCTTTTATTTATCACAATTCATTTCTATTATTTCTTTATTTGATGATTTAATTCGGTGAAAATGATACGCGCAGCAATTCGAAGGTCCATCACAAAAACAAACTTTACTCATTGATTAATTTTATTTCCTAAACAACATTAAATTTAAGTTAATGATGATACAAGTTTTTTAGTTGGTATACAATGATCGTAAAATGTTAATACAATAATAGATAAGAAAAGGTTAGACTTAGAAATGCATTCAAAGCAAAAAAGATGTCCACTCGTAGAAAGAAATGAATTTATCACTGAGGTGAGGTCATCACATTTATAATTGAGGTGAGATCATGAGTGAAAGAATTGAATGACTTAGTAAACACTTTACAAAATGTTACAAGTTTTCCAAATGATCAGTAAATCGTTAAAAATTCAATGACTTGACACTTATGAATCAGTAATATAATAGAACAATATTATAATAAAAAAAAGAAACACGATGATTCCGTTACAATTAGCATTCTATTCATTCTGCTAAACAACTGCTGCTTTTTTACTCAATAAGTTAAATAATTGAAGAGTTAATATCTCTGGCTGCTAATGCCTGGACCATTAAATTAGCTAATGGTGAATTTGTAAAGATGAGAGTCGGTTACGAATTATCGTATTAAGCGAATTAAAGATCGATCAGCAGCAAAAAGCGTTCAACACTGGCAGGCATGAAAAGATGATTTCTAATTACATTGCCACATTGGCGACCCATATAGCGCCTAAATTTAAGTCGGCATAAGTGTTTCAAGGAATGTACTCTGCCTCTCCAATCGGCTATTAAAAGTTGTAAAGGATACCTTTCTTCACCTCGAAATCTTGATAACTTTTCAATTGCTTTTTTAGATAATTCTGGTTTGGCTCCAGCATTTAGCAATAAGTTGACCATATTATAATTATCAGCCATTACTAATCTTTCCAGTGGTGTATATCCCTCGATCCCCATAATATCAAGATCACATCCAGCTCTGATCAACATTTCTATTATACGATCTTGACTGCGAGAAATGGCCACATGTATAGCGTTTTGTTTAAGAAAGCCCACTTCCACCTTGTCCAATGCACAATTATGGTCAATCAGCTCTTTAATAGCGTATTGGCCGTCAAGATTTGTTTCACTTGCCCGTCTGATTGCAGTTACCAAAGCTAAATCACCGTTATCATTCATATGATCTGGATTTGCTCCAGCATCGAGCAATATTTTAACTAACTGATGGTTTATAGTCAAACACTGGTCAATTGAATGCAATAATGGTGTATTACCACGATTATCGGTAGTGTTAACATCAGCGCCAAGTCTTAATAAAAATTCAACAGTCTCTAGGCGGTTATTTATGCAGGCAATTGCTAATGGCGTTTGACCATTAGCATTTGCTTTTTCAATATTGGACCCAGCATCAATCAACAATTGAACAGCCTCTGTAAACAAAACAAAACGAAATAAATTATTAAATTGCCACAAATTACTTTATTTAGTCCTTTATATTAAATATAAATGCATTAATAAACAATCAAAAATAATCTTCAGGGAAGAGCCTAAATGGTTTGGGTTCAAAACAGCGAAAGACAAAATAATGAAAGCAAAATAGAGACAAAACCAAATCAAAACCGCGAAAAATATCGATGCACATATTTTTTATTAATTATTGCAATATTTAGCTTTTCTATTATATTAATATAATAGTTTGTCGCCTGTCTCTGTTTAGACCCTTTACCGTCATGAATATCGATTGCATTTACATTATTCCTAAACTAATTTAGCTAACTAATCACTGAAAGCAATAGCAAAATTTAAGGTTGTGTTAGATGTTCAATATTTACCTAGTGATTTTGTTTGAGCGGCTAATTGAAGAGCATTGTTTCCATGACAGGAAAGCGCATTCAGATCTGCTCCTTCCTTCAGTAGTAACTTGATTATTTCTGGTTGACCATATGTAGCCGCATAATGTAGTGGACTGAATCCTGATGTATAATGGTTTACACTGCATCCATGATCAATCATCAATTGTACCATTTCCAAATTACCTTTTTCAATGGCCATGCATATGGCTGATATTTGCTCCGAAGGTGTATAACTCTCTTCAGGCTGAAAACGTCCATTACTGTAATTTTCGTTCAATATGGCTTTAACTGTAACCATGTCATCTGCTTGGATAGCACCTATAAATCGCACTTTACGCTCCCATGGATCGAGTTCACTTATGGGCTTGTTTGAAACCTCAGTTGGAATAGGTTCATTGTTTCCAAATACTAAGGGCAGTGGTTTTTTGGTCGCATCCATTTTGATGATTGTAAAAGGATGTTTGCTTAAAAAATGTAACTGACGCCTCGGATTGTTTGAATCAGCTAAATATTGTACAACCAGCCTGCTCAGAAAACCCACCATGAAATGAAGAACAAGAGTTCGTGTTTGAGGCAAACAATAAAGGATTAGCAACTAGTTGAAATGTTATTATATAAACAAACAGAGATTTACATCGAAGATAATATTGATTTTATTGCTCAAAAATATCTGCATGGATAGAATTTCCAAAACACTAAATATTGCCTTAAATTGCAGGGAATTGATGTCCAGTTGTTGTGACAAAATATACAAATACTAACAATCGGTGATCAAATCAGCAATAAAGTCCAGTAAAAGTAGCATTGATAACAAAAAGATATAGAAATGAACAGGAAGAAAACACTCGAGTATCAGAAGGGAATCTCTTCGAATCTCAGAGTCCAAAAATAGCAGAAAACAGTTAAAAGCTCAACTCCAAACTCCTTGGCAAAGTACAGTCTCTGTTCAGTTTACTAACAAAGTGAGAGCTACACAAGACCAACAGCTAGCAAGGCATGTTTGAAATGCATGAAATGAACACATTCACCTTTTAAATCTACAAATTCGTGAAATTATTTTGGATTAGCTAAAACAGAAACGCATAGAGTGCAAACCTGAGCCACTTGATGATGAAACTAGTCTTCACTTGCCATTGCACATAATTTCTCGAATAAAACAACACGACAATTTTGCCTTATTATGCAAAAAAGTATTGAGTTTATTTGAATTTGAACAAAAGAAAAGGTTCGAATAAATGCTCCTCCTCATTCGGAATCAACTGGAAGGTGACCAAATCCATTTAGGCGAAAAGCAGGCTATTGCAGGTTGGCCATAAATTCGCTGAATGCAAGCTTTAGCTTCCCTTTCTAACTTTAGCTTGAATAAAATAAAAGATCCAAAACATCCATCGATTTTCTGAACATTATTTAGTGTATTCGTCGACATTCTTTATCTTGTTTGAATAAATTTCAATATTTTGTTGGTTATATGAACAAGCTACACCATCAGTTCACGAAAGTCGAGCTACACAAACAGTTACTAATATTTGTTATGCTTGTGTTTGACAATTGTTACTAAAAAGACACAATAAACACAATTGTAGCATTTATGCACAAATTAACACAAATACTGAAATACAAATGGGCAAAACGGGTAGAAATGAATTCCCTGCAAATTAAGACTCTGTTAGTTTGTAGGGAATCAAAAACTGCATCCATTTGTGTGAGTTAAAATTTTCTCAGGTCGTTAGTTCTCGAGAAAATCGAGTCCAAAGTTAAAACTTCGATTGCTTTTTTTACAATAATGAAAGCATATTTTTTCATTAAACTTATTTTTCCCAATGTAACTTTTGATGGCCAACAAAAAAATGGACTTTATTGCATCAAATAAAATTTTGGGTTTCTGTAAAACCCGTAAGTTCGATTTTCAGTTAAATCGTCTTTTTATTGTGGTCGGTTGGGTTAGAGAACTGAAACTTATTTTTCGTCAATAAAAGTTGTTGCTACACATCAACAATTGAATATTTTTATCAATTCATCCATTGATCGCTTGATTTTGGCCATTAACCTAAAAAGTTCGAAGCTTGATAACTCGAGAATGGCACTATCTACAATCACCATTCTTTGGCAGAACATAGATTTTATTCTTGACTATAACAACATGTGATTAAATAGCGAAGAAATTAGAGCTAATTCATGGAATAATCAGTATTCTTTTAACACATCATAAGTAACCATTTACTTTGTTAATATGCTAACAAATCTGGTAACCTAAACAACTTAATGTTATAACTTTTGTTTAATTTCCTTTAATTGTCTGAAAACTGCAATATAGCTTAATCCATAGTAAAATATAATATTTGAACAAAGAATGGTGATCATAGATGATGCCATTCTCGAGATATCGAGACTCGAAATTTTTAGGTTAATGGCCAAAATTAAGCGACCAATCAAGGAATTGAGAAAAGTATTCAATCCTTGACGTGCGGAAACAATTTCTGTAGACGAATAATAAGTTTTAGATCTCCAACTATAGTGGTCAAAGAAAGAGGTCGCTTTAACCGAAAATCGAACATATCTATTTTACAGAAACTCAAAATGCTTTTTCAGGTAATAAAGTTGATTTTCTGATTTACCATGTAAAGTTACATAAGGGAAAATAAGTTTAATGAAAAAATATGCTTTTATAACTGTACAAAAAGCAATCGAAGTTTTAACTTTGGACTCGATTTTCTCGAGAACTAACGACCTGAGAAAATTTTAACTCACACAAATGGATGCAGTTTTTGATTCCCTACAAACTAACAGAGTCTTAATTTGCAGGGAATTCATTTCTACCCGTTTTGCCCATTTGTATTTCAGTATTTGTGTTAATTTGTGCATAAATGCTACAATTGTGTTTATTGTGTCTTTTCAATAAAAATTGTCAAACTTAAACAAATGCAACAAAATTTAACAAATATTAGTAACTTTTTGTTTTGTATGTTGGGCAGCTCGACTTTCGTGAACTGATGGTGCAGCTTGTTTTCCGTGTTATAAGACAGTATTGAGTCTTTGATCATCGATTTGTCACTTTTAATCCAGTCAATTTTTCAATTGCTCCACAAAAATAAAAAAATATGAATAAATATTGATTTTCATCCTTCACAAATTCACAAGCTCACCATGAATAAGCATAGCAGCTCAGTTTTAAGTTTTTGAAATGGGCACAAGAAACAATAAATCAATATGCACACAGAATGAACTGTAATTGATAAACAGAGAGATGAAAAATGAGTTTAATAAATCAAAATGGCCAAAGCAAGCAATGAATGCAATTGGAGTTTTACTTCCTCTAATTACGAGGAATATGCGTCAATTTAAAATGCAAAGGTAAAACTCAATACAATTGCTAAATTATTGATCAAAAAGCACAAAAATCGCAACTATGAGCCACTCGAGTTCACTGTTAACACTGTTTAATCTAAGTTCGACCAAGCAACTGTTCAAGACGATATGTTTGTTGTTTTTAACCATACAGCTAAATGTGTTTTTGCCTCATCGATTCAATCTTGGTTACCTGGTGTATGCTCAGTCTTTAAACACTAGCAAAACAGTTACTGAAGTTGGTAACAAAAATGCAACAAGTAATGTCAATGGTTATAAAAGCGATAAACGCACAAACCCACAAGTGATTTTACCTCAAGGAATCGTACAAGGGTTTACTCAATCAGTCAAAAGTGTGAAGGTAAATGTGTTCTTGGGCATTCCATATGCTGATCCTCCAATTGGTGACCAAAGATTTCGCCCATCTCAGGTTATATCAAAAGTTTCTAATGAAACCATTTTAGCAACGGAATATGGACCCAATTGTTGGGAACCACCTCTAGGTCCATTGGCTGATCTAAGACGAAGTGGCAACTTGATGGTGCGATCAGAAGATTGTCTCTATTTGAATATATGGGCACCAGAAAATGCTTCAATGGACAAACCTTTACCAGTTTTTGTTTATGTTCACGGTGGAGTGTTGGTAATGTATTCAGCAGGAGACTCAAGATGGACTGATGGTCGGTCATTGGCAGCTTTAGGTAATATAATTGTCGTCACTCTCAACTATCGCTTGGGAACATTGGGTTTCCTTTTCAGTGGTAACTCTGACGTTCCTGGTAATCTTGGTCTGACAGATCAATTGACTGCTCTCAAGTGGGTAAAAAAGCACATCTCAGCATTTGGTGGCGATCCAAACAAAATAACTTTATACGGATTGTCTTCTGGTGCCTTGACCGTCTCCATGCTTTTCTTGTCAGGACAAGTGAATGATTTGATTACAGGATTGGTGGTTGACTCAGGAGGACCAAGTGCACTTTGGGCTGATTCACCTGAAAAATCATTAGCTCGTTTTCAAGTGATTGCCTCCAAAGTTGGCTGTTATATTCGTGGAACCAAAGTAGACACAGCAGAAATAGTCGATTGTCTAAAATCAAAACCAGCGCTTCTTTTAACCACTGCTGGTTTAGATCCTGAAAATATTGCGGTAACTGGACCAGGACGGCCTGAACCTTTTTTCCCTACATTAGGAAGCGACTTGTTTCCCCAAAACTCTATTGCAGAGCTTTACCAAGCGCATCTTTGGAAGCCCAATATTTCGGTTCTTATTTGGCTTGTTACTGATGAAGGTTTTGCTCCAGCCACTTATGGTCAATTCCCAAAATTAATGAATCCAACAACCTCTGGTTGCTCTCAACATTTGATTAACACTCGAAACACACTTCTGCCACCGTCTTCCAATAGTTCCAGTATGACAAAAATTGGTGATCTGATTAAAACCTATTGTAAAGGCTATGAAAATGCACCCATGTCTGCCATGTTGAGCAACTTCAATACTTTTCTCGGGGATTGGTATATCACTTGTCCGAGTTATTATTTTGCTGACATATTGGCTGAAGATGGACAGAACCAAGTTTACTTTGGTAAATTTACTTATTACAATAATTCGTTCTTACAAAAATTGTCTCCTGACTTTACTGGTGGACTTTATGGAGCGCGCCATGGTTTGGACAAAATTTATCTCATGGGTTTACCTTACACTCGACCTGATGACTTCAGTGAAACTGATCGTGGTCAAAGTTTTCAAATGATTACTATTTACTCACAGTTTGTTAGGAATGGGAATCCTGGTTGGACTCCTTACCAAATAACCTCTAAAGGAAGGATAATACCATTTTTAAGGGAAGTTAATAGTTTGAAAGATATTAAATTCACAGCAATTAATCAAGACAGAGTCAAATGTTTCGTTTGGAATGACATACTTTACAAAAACTAGCGCTCATTCTGTCATTGTATTGTTAAACCGGCATGTTGAATCTTTGATTTTACTCACAATTTAAACCAATGAGTTAATCACATTTTAAACGCTAACCGTCTATTCAAGTAAGAAATCTCAGGCAATTAAATATTGAGAAGAAATCGTGATGAACTTCCTTGCAATCAAAATTATTTACTCCTTTCGGAAAAGTTAAAGATCTTAACTATGAAACTGGCAGTGCTAAACCGATTCTATTTGTTACTTCTTACTTTTTAAGACTTTAAACATCAATTTGCAACAAACTTTGATAGATTTTGATAAATGAGATACACAATTTTACAAATGGGCAAAAACGGGTCAAAATAAATTTTTGTTAAATTTCAACTCAATTAGTTTGTAGGGAATTGAAAAATATGTCGATTAGTGCGAGTAAAACATTTCTTTGATCTTTAGTTTCCGAGAAAATCGAGATCAAAGTTAAAACTTGGATGGGTTTTATTTCAGTACCGAAAGAATTTATTTTCCCAAACTGTTGTCCCTAGTATAACTTTTACACGGAAAACGAGGCTATTTATTGCATATTATATTAATAAAATATTGGGATATCTTTTGTTTCGACCTTTTTTCTTGCTGA